AGCAGGACTATTTATTCATTTTGATGTTCATTGTTATTCCTATACTAACAATGCTAATTGTAATCCGTTTGTCCTATTTTAAACCCAAGTCCCTCGTGATGTGGTATCGATACTGAATTTTCCTAAAATAACTCCTTCGAAAACAAAAAATCTCAACACACCACTCCATTATCCTATTCCTTGAAAACTCCTGTCCAAAAATAGCAAGTACAAGAAAAACAAGACGAGAGAAAGTTCTCATTCGGAGCCCAATGGTGTTTCATGTTACTCCATTGAATATAAAACAAGCAAAAGACCAAGTTCCATACCAGATACCATTTGATACCCCCAACTCCATTATAAACATTTAATACAACACTTTAATCCATCCTCGCTTCTCTCAAATCAGAATGCATAAGAAACATCCTTCAAACGATATAGAAAATCGCTATGTGAAGAAATCTGATCGACAAGCAACTTCAAGGATTCCGCAAGTGATCTTCTCAATCTGAGATTTTTGCTCTTATCCAGAGCACGTAATTCAGCCGATTTAGCTGCATGTTGAGCACTCAATTGCTCAATTTGTTTGCGTACGTTTGCCATGATCTGCTCCAGCGCAAGTTGGGGCTCCATGGTGGGACGTATGGTCATGTCAGCCTCATCGCAATCTTCCTCTTCCTCTTCCTCATCATGCTGGACCTTCTTCTCCTGCCCATTCGATGTCTCATTCGTCTTAGGTAATTGATTTGGTGATAGGTCAATGTTTTCATGTTCCTTGGATTGCGACGTCTCAGCATCTACTGGACGTTGTGATGTCTCAGCTGATGCTGAATGTTGTAAAGTGTCGAATCGCTCGACAAGGTTCTTGTAACGAGCAAGAACCATATCCCGTTGCTTTGAGATGTTCTCAATATCGACTTTGAGTTCCTCATTTGAGGAAGACATTTCGGCCAAGGTCTTTTCCATTGCCTTCTTCTCTGTCTGATGTGATCTTGCCATAGCCTCGACATTAGAAATAGACTTCATCATCTGCTCATTCTCTTGGCGCTGTGTGTGGGCATCATGCTCGAGTTCTCGGATGGCCTCGTTCATGTGGTTGTTCTGTGTGCGAAGAGTAGTTGTAATTGCATCGTGTGCGCGTTTTTCGTCTTCAAGGTTGAATATGACTTCATCCTGTGCTCTTTTTTCGTTGCGGAGGGTGGATATGATGGCGTCTTGTGCCTTTTTTTCGTTGCGAAGAGTAGTTATGACGTTATCTTGGTCGCTCTTCCCATTCAGTTCTTTCTGAAGAGAAGACATGATAGAATCCCGCTCCCTTCTTTCCTTCTGGAGAGAGTTTATAACAAAATCGCGCTCCTTGCGTTCATTCAACAATATAGCCACCTGCTGTTGAAGTTCGTCAATGGAGCGATAAATGTCGACCTCCTCTTTTCCCATAGGATGAGCGGGTTGTTCAAGAATATCAACTTTTCTAAGTAATGAAGTTGATGTGGTGTCTACCAACTTGGTGATGTTGTGGACTTCCGGAATTGCGAATGAGTTATTAACAGTAGTGGACATTGTAAAGGTTGGGCTGGCAGCTTTAGCAAATCTGCCAGATTTGATAGATGCGTTTGCTGGATGGTCCTTGATAAGGGTTTCGAGCTCTGCAAGTACTTGTCTTTCATTGTAATCAGCTTGAGCAATCTTCTCATGCTGGGAGCTTGCTGAAATATGTGTTCGTTGTTTAGGTAGGATGTTCTCCTTGTTATGGATTGGATGTGATAGATCCAAGGAAAATTCGTGGTCGTCAAGTGTATTCTTGACAACTCGTCTTGGTGTATTTGCAGGCTGGATATACTCAGGTGCTGCTCTAGTGTTCATTTTGGAGTTGTTTTTCGAGAGTGAATTTGATCGTTCGGACATTTTCGATTTCGAAATTCGGCAAGGTGTATGGTCTTGGTCCAATCTGTCCAATCTTTGAAGTTTGGATGCCAATCTAGAACTGTTATTTGTTCCATTAATTTGAGAAGATCCTCCTGTGAAGTCTTCGAAAAAATTGTTGAAATCCACAATGTTGGCAGATATTTCGGGCTCTCTTCTTGGGCTCCATCGATTGTATTTCTTTGCGGTATCGCGAATGTCAATATCCGGGCGTTGTGTTTGTTTACGCTTCAGTCTTTCGATATCCAATTCAGTTGACATGAAGCATTGCTCTGCGGAATCATCGGGATCAAAGTAATTGAGAGTGTTATGACTGTCGTCGCTGACGGTATGGTGTTGAGTATTTGTTGAATTTAAATTGAGATCACGAGAAGATGAGGAGGAACTGATGGAACGGTTGGATTGAAATCGACTCTTGGGTCGTTGCGGGAGATTTTGAGAACTTGAGATGGAGGATAAAGTATCCTCATAGTTATTGCGAGCCATGTCGTAAATTAATTGATTGTTGAGAAGGTACAATGTACAAATTTTACAGATTTTAATGTTTTGAATCAAAAGTAAACAATCAGAACGCGACAAAAGGTTGTAAGAGGGACCGGGCGGGAGACGAGTATTATAGAAATCCCTGTGCGCTACAGATTTTGACTATCGTCCACTAAATATTCTGCTCTAACCAGACTAGGAAATGATCATTTACTAAGCACATGATAACGAGCTATTCACATATCATCCACATCATCTACACCATAGCTCTTCTTAATGTCCGATTTGGAATTAGACAACGAAATAGTGCTTTGGAACTAGATATCTATACGCACTCTACCCAATGGAGGACATATCGCATTCCAAACTTAGCAGTTGACGTAGGGTAGCTCTTTCCAATATCCCACTTCACTCAGACTAGACAATCAAATAGTACTTTGATGGTTGAACATCTAGACATTCTATCCGATGAAGTATTTGTTCTGCCTCCACGGCAGTGGCTCCCAGAGGGCCAGCGGAGTGTCATTCTCTGATAAGTGTTAATAACTATCTCTAAGGATAATGAACCTCGAGTTGACATATATATTTCTTTGGAATGCTCCAATGCAAACAAATTAGGCAATGAAATAGCGATATGTCTAGACTAGATGACGTTTTCGATGGTAAGCCCTTCACGTGTCACAGACATATGTCCAGGCCTTATAGCCCCTCTTCAATATCCCGAGCCAGTTCAGGTGTTGACTGTTCGTTATTTATAGTGAGTAATACGAAATATCTAATACATCTTTCAATTGTATGAAGAATAAGATCTTATCACTCTAGCGTTTGATTGGGTTTCTATCAATTAACCATCCAGAGTTTATGAACAGATGCTACAACTGTGCTGTAATTTTTGCCTAGAGTGGGATTGGAACTCCATCAATGAACGATTAAGTATAACAGATATCAAAAACTTTTGTGTTGGGAGTAATTCTGTGGTGAAGTTTCAAAGAGCATCGAGTATTGAGTCTAGGTAAATCCTTCGTATATGATTAGGGTTTCGGAAGTACCCCAACTACGGCTAAGAACAAACCCTTTGAACGAATTGAATCCCATGACACTCCTCATCAAATGGACCGTAGCCGGCAACTGAATAGATGTAGCTTAGGGAAGACCCGTTAGAACTTGTAGTATTGTACTATGTTTCACATATGATGGTCGAAAATAAAGACGACAGGCATTTAGTTGGAAATAATTGCAAGACTTAGGAAGCACTTCGCACCCAAGCAGGAGGACTTGCTGTATTTCTTAATTATTGCTATGGCATAGAAATAATATGCCCACTAGATAGATCTTCAACGAAAGGACTTCGCCAATCCGAATCCTACAAATCCTACGCGCGGTATATATGAAATATTTACAGTCTGTATCGAGTATCGAGTATCGAGAATCGTTAGCTAGAACTCTAGCTTCATGACGTCATCTACATGAACCACTCCCAGCCCACCCAGCAATTTCTGCCGTACCTACCTAGTCATTATCAAGACTATTAGATTCACATGATCGAATATCTCTAACTTTACATATAGTTCCCGACAATGAAACGAAGGGGGCTGGCAACAAATCGATACCAAAAACCCACATACAACGAGCGATGAAAATTCCCATCTACATGAGTTCACATTGTCACTGGTTAAAAGGTTTTGTCAACTGGTAATCACTACAATAACCAGGTATGACTCTTCGACTCAAATTGACTACCTACCAAATCTGCAGTCATCAATACACTATAACCCCATCATAGACCCAGTGACAAAATGCCAAAACTTCACCACAATTGATGCCGCGTTTTGCAATTAAACTCCCGTCCTATCTTTTGGACGAGAGGATATAACAATTGATTCCGATTTGGAAAAACAGGGGAGCTCGAGAAAATATCAAATCACAATTCACGTCAAATCAAATCAAATCACCACTATCTACACTGTATTCCAAGACATTCTAGACTTCTATCAAATAATCAATCCCAATTCGTGTGTTGAGCTTTCCGAAAGAGAGCATGCATGCACCATTGACACAAAGATCAGTTTCATCACCATCACAAATATAGCTTTCATGACCGTAAGGAGCTTCTGAATTCTAGTACCCTGATCATCTTTCTTCTCACGTTCAATCCCAGACCTATTCATCCCCAATCCCAAGAATATTTTCATTGATCTTCCATCTGGCAGGTCGAGTATCCTGTAACCGAATCCTGCATCGTATCATCCGGCTCAAGCCCCATAAGTCACTTCATATCTATGTTTCCCTCCGTTCCCTCTTCCGTTTCCCCGTGGTTGAATTCGCCATCCAAAGAAAATTATATTATACATTCATGTAATCCACCCCTTTATTAGCCTAAAGAACTCTTCTTGTTGGCAAAGTCGCAAAGTCGCAAAATCGAAACCTTCTTAATCCATTGCTCCAGCCGGCGAGATAATTGCAGTGCCATGGCCAGACTCCCAAGTAGCACTTGGCCAACGCCCGAAACACCTATGGTTTGAACTTTGGGGCTCTACATAAGCATGAAATGTGTAGAACGCCCAGAATAACATGTGCCACGCCTGTAACACTTTTGTACAACAAGAACATAATGTTCAAGCGAAAAACCATCCACCCAATTCCCACATCCCTGGAATGTACAGAGCCCGTTGTTTGAGCTGAGGGTTATTTAATCCTTGTAGGAGAAAGTCTAGCCGGCTAAAATTGATAGGTTTCATTATCCAGCCATCGAAGCTAAATTAAAAAGAAGATTCATTAGTTTCTCTCATAAAATGATTCAGGAAAGATTGAAAAAGGGAAACAAACATACCCCGCTTCGATATAATCAAATCGTTGTTCCTCTGTAAGTGAGGCTGAAGCAGCAATAATAGGAACTCTCCTCCTGATTTGATGTAATCTGAGATTGTCCCTCTCGAATTTGCGTATCATTCTCGTCGCCTTCGTACCATCAACAAGTGGCATCTACCGAATGTTAGCCTGCGATATTGAACTTTGATGGGAGTAGAGAGATGGCGTACTTGTAAGTCCATCAAGATGACATCGACATCATTGTTTCCAGACGTGTAGTAATCGTAACATGATTGCCCTTCAGATGTAACTTCAGGTTTATGTAAAAGTTTGCTGAGTCTTTTATACAGAAGCTTTGAGTTGATAGGATTGTCCTCTGCGATTAGAATCGAAAGCGACTTTTTTGTTGACATAAGATCGATCATAGTTAAGAAAGGTAGGCTCGATCTTCGGCGCATGGATGGTGGCTCGATAAATTCTTCTTTCGAATGCATTGCGAGATCGAAAAATGATGTAGTAAGAGATGAACCCTCTTCGATCGGTGTAGCTAACGGAGTGCTTCCAAAAGTCGACATCGTATGACTAGAGTTCATTCTCTCACTCTCATCGTAATTGCTTCCAGAATCTGAAAGTGGACGAATCTGTCTAGCAGTACTACTGATTGGAATTTCTTGAGCACTCGATGCAGCTGGTGCATGTTCAAAAGGTAACTCAATACCGAATATAGTCCCTTTACCTACCTCACTATGTACTCGAATTTGACCATTGGAGTTACGAACGTATCGCGCAACTACAGCAAGGCCGATACCAAGTGTCTCTCTCACATCACCTAGTGGTTGTGCCGACTTTTTAATTGTAGAGCCATCAGTCTCATCCAATATTTGCTCAAACTCTTGGAACAGTTCATCAAGCTGTGACTCCGACATTCCAATTCCCACATCTTGAACAGTGAGAGAAATAACAGTGCTGGCTGGCCATACCTGTATGGGTTTGATATCGATTTTGACACCACCGGCCACGGAGTTTTGGAATGCGTTGCTTGCAATATTAGAAATAACCTGTCGCAATCGGGTAGCATCACCCCTGACCATTTCCGGGATACCTTGTTGAATAGTGACGGTCAAATCTAGATTCCTCCGGACTGCTTCTTTTTGGAAGGCTGACATGACTTCTGAAACTGTAGCTGAAAGATCGAAAACATCTTTCATGGAATTTACCGGGCCGGATTCGGCTTTGGTGAGCTTCAGGAGGTCGTCAACAACATAAACCAAGGATCTTGAAGCTCTGTGAGCTTTGTCTAACAATTCGCGGGTTGGACCTTCGATTTTGTCTTCAAGTGCCATTTCGAGATAATTAACAACAGCATTCAAAGGTGTGCGAACTTCATGACTGGTATTTTTCAATAGAAGGCGAGTCATTCGATCGAGTCCTGTTGATTCCTTCTGTCGCCAGATCTCAATGAACCTTCCATACAGAAGACTTAGCACAGACGCAGTCTCGAAATCATCAGCGTTCCATACTTTAGAAGTGCCTTTGATAGTCTGTGTCCAGCGACTGAAACTACTTCTTGGCTCTAGATACTGCCCTTTTGCAGGTTTGATCTTTTCATAAGGGTTACCCGCCCATCTGACTTCGCGAAGTTGACCTCTTCTGAAGAAGACCAAGAAATCATTCCCTCCAGTGCTAAGAGGTATGACTAGTATTCCAGCTACAGCGCTGATTCCTGGAGAATCTTTCAACTTCGGCAAGTCTCTTGTGATATTGTGCGTGGAGAAAATTTCGGTAAAGTGGCGAGACTGTAGATATGCAAGAATCGCCAATGCCTCGCGATAGGGGTGAAGTTTTCCAATAGCTCGTGCTTCATCCTGAATATTCAAAAGACCAAAGTCGGCATCGAATACTCGTAATAAGTCGTCGGAAGATGCCGCAATAAAACCAGAAGGTGTCTTTCCTGGATTCTGACGTGGTGCTTTGCGAGCTTCAATACGTTGATGCATCAACAATCGCTCAATATTTGTTGAGGCACACTCTCCAATATTTCTGGCAACTATTCAAGGAAAAGCACAGTTAGCTTCCTTGTTCGAAACAGAGTAAAGTGGTAAATGATTCTTTTGAAAATAACACATATCCGATGCGTCTCGAGACAATAACCAATCTCGATAGACAATCTCAAAGAAAGTGTGGCAGGTCGGAGAATACTCACGTTCGCGCATTGGTAAAGTTACGCGGGTGCCATGACTGCCATACCCATGGCATGCAATAAGTCCCCAGAGATCGCCATCAATTACAATGGAAACTGACATTGTCGACCGTACTCCCATATTCGAAAGATACTTCAGATGAAGTGGCGACATGGCGCGTAAATAAGCGTGCGTTAAATCGAGGGGCTTTTCAAAATCTGACTGATCACGACAGACCTATCGTATTGTCAGCACGGCGAAATTCGGCTTTGCTTCAAAACAATAAACACTTTAAACATTCTCTCAACGATTTTCGAGCAGCGTATTGGCGTATCTATTAGCTGGGGTATTTGAGGAGCACGTCTCCAAACTGTTGAGATACATTGAACTTGATGTTCGAAATGAATCCAAGTTTTTGACATGGAATTGTTCAGGCGGAGTTGATTGTTGTGGCTTCTGGCGCATGGCAAAAAAAAAGGAAACAGGAAAAACGTTACGTAGCTACTATCTACGCAAAACAACAACAAAGTAACTAAAACGTTGCTTACTAGTCGTGCGGTCTCTTCATCTCGGTCATGAAGCATTCGGATCCTGTTAATCTTATATAATTCCCGAGCTTGCTTAGGGATATCCGAAGCTATCAATTATAAGTTATCGCTGATCCGTTTAAAAAGGAGGAGGAAAGGGGAAATTCATCCAAAAACGAACCTGGAAAATGCAGTCCTCTAAATATATCATCACTGGCTTTGGGATTGAGTAACTCAGCCTCCACACATCCATTTTTGGTGGAATCGAATCGATAGAACATGACTCGGTGAAAGCCCGTCAAGTCAAATATGAGGCCCACCAAGACGTCTTGAAGCTTTTGAACCGAAGTACACGCAGCAAGTTGTTCTTGTGCTTGTGTCATAGCATTAAATACTTCCAGAGAACCAACAGCATGTCTGCCTTTTCGTTTTGCAATCTGCAAGACGCGAAGAGGTTGGCTTCCACTGGAGATACTTTTCAGTCGCTCTCCAAGTACTGTTTCATTGTCGATAGTTCGTGTCGGCAACTTGGGTAAATCGTTCGTGGTATTATGAGGTTCATCAGAAAAAAACATTTCATCAGAAAACGGTTCAAATTCACAGATGATCAAATCATCTGTGCCTTTAGATATATGAATCGCACACCAAAGATTCACCAATCCTGTGTGTGCAACAACTGACATGGAGAAGATATCCAGCTTTGTATCGGAAGATGGGTTTTTGGTGACAGCCCGAAGAGCATGATCCACTCGTGCGATAAAGTCTTCGCGAACGTCAACGCCAAGAAGGTCAAGGAAAGAATTTAACGAGAAGAGTTGTTCTGGAGTATATTTCAATATTTTGAACGCATTCTCGCTGGCAATCCGAACCATGAGATCTCCCTGATCATTGTATCTCAAGGCTAGCAATGCACCATACTGTTGAATTGCTCCTGGAATATGTATAGGTTCATCTTCACATTTGAAAAATGTCCGCTCCTCAGTGCTCACAGGTTCGCCGGGGGCTATGCCTGGAGGACCCGATTTCGAAGGGATCAATTGTGAACGTTGCGATATCTTCCTATCTTCATTCTCGAATGGGCCTTCACCACCGCCAATTTCTGTTGAATGGTCATGTATTGAATTTTCAGGTAATCTGCGAATTTGGTCATCGGGAGGTATTGGTGGGTAAGGTGGTGGCAAGAAGTTCGTTTCGCTAGAGCCATCGGAATGGCTGTCATTCAAAATGTCATCTTTGTCGTAAGGCTCTTGAGCGAAATGAGGATCTCGACAGCTTGAATTCGATGAAGAAACATCGTCGGTATTCTGCGAGGTTGATTCTGCATTGAAATTTCTTCCATTGACAAGATTTCGAATGGGAAATATCCGTTCGACTTGAAACTCTTCAACCGATGGGTAAACCACCGACTTGGAAGTTGTTGTATCTATGTTGAACATCATTCAGCATGTTGTATCCTACCAAGCAGAATGTTGAATATGTCCATCTCTAAACGCTTGGTTGACGTGTAGATAAGAAACTGTGATCAATATAGAACTGCCCCATCAGTGCATGGGAGCTAATTTTATTTGAGCAAAGTCTTGGACTAGCTTGAAGTCCAGAGAGACCGCTCGACGAGCGATCCCATGGTTAGTCGCGATGGTATGGAGATCGAAGTGAATCCCTATCGACACCAGCCACGAAAAATGCTCCGTAATGACAAGGATGCCGAAAACTTTATGCGTGAAGTGCAAGGAGCTCTAGAATGTAGAGAAGAAAACAAATGTTTTAAAATGGGCTCGATGGGAGCAATCTGGAATTTTGTATAGTATATCTCAGTTACCCCTCCTCCAAATTCATCAAAGCATACCAAAGGATTCACAAAAGGTGGAAATTGGCAAGGCTAAGATCGTGCGTGACAAAGACGAGAGTTCATTATTATCTTGAATTTTGATCATGGAAGATTTTGCCTCATTGTAACAACAACCAGCCTACTTCACACCTGTTGACAAGATATCTTATTGATCTTGACTTACTTCAAGGGCATATTGTTGAGCCGAAGGAGACGTCACTGTAGACTCCATACTCATCATTCATTATAGAGGAGATGATTGCGCAGAGCAAGATCAGAAATTGAGTGAAGAATATACGAGTAGAGTAGCACAGTGTTTGCCGTTTACTTTCCAGACAAGCCTGTCAATGAAGCTTACTAATAATACTACCGCAGCAGGAAAGGAAGCATGTGGCCCGTGCGAGCGGGAAGCCACGATGGGATTGTGCAATATTTGCCATTGACATCGGTGTTGTCGATCTTTTCCTGACTCGCTGTACAGAAATTCCAAATCCTGTGTAGCATTTGAGAAGACATCGAATCTTAAATCTTCATAATGCTGACATTAGCTGTCATGGAGACGTTACCTTTCCTAAGTAATGGCTTCAAGTTTCACGATATCTATCAGCTACAAGATTTTAGAGGATCATAAACGTCAAGCTAGACCTAAAGGTACAAATCTTCCCGTGCTTTGTGAATGGGGTAAATGCACTCTCCAAACTCTATTGGTGTAAAGAGTTGTTACTTGTTATTGTTATTACGGGAGCTTCTATCAAAAGTGGTACTTCGTACATGTAAAAAGAAATCAAACTCAGCCCAGGTTACCTGGGATTTCTATAGATAGTCAGCTAAGACACAGCTGCTGCATCATACCAATTCATACTGTTGATGGGTATCAGACGGATGAATAGGATGGTTAAAGAACATTTCGATGAGGAAGTCATGAAAAAGAGCTCTGAAGATCGTGCCATTTAGATCGTGCTACCTCTTGCGTAGCTTCGGAGTACCTACCCATGCTTACCATTCGAGAAGATCCATGTATGGCCGTGTACGATGTGACCCGATATTCAAGGCTAGGTTAGAAGCTACCAGACCTGCATAGTAGAACAACACCTACGTACAGTAGCCGGGCTCTAGGTATGGTAGCCCGTTAGACCAAGTCCAACTGTAACCTCAACGTTTCTAGCAGTTAGCTATTAGTCGACAAATAAACAATAATCATCCATATCCTATTTCATATGTCCTATTTCCTATTCTCGGATGGAAATCTCAGCGGAAACTTCCAAATTCCAATTCTTTCGAGGTGCGATCCACTCTCGCAATTCGCTCGATCATGGTAGCTCGAGTCCATACAGTATGGGGTTCTTTCGCTAAATCCTTTCCCGATAGGTAGTTCTGGGGTGCTGACTACCTAGCATTGTCACTCGGACCTCGATTTAAAGTTTATCCTTTTGAAATCCGGACCACTCCATCCTAGGAGACAAAAAGGAAGCAACAATATATATTCATTATAGCTGACGCCAGTGAGTTACAGTAACCCTTACTGCCTTTCAAATCTTCATCATATTCATGTTTTCTTCTGAATTCTGATCATATTTGATTCAGAGCTGAACATCTAGGGTTGACCGAATGCCCAAATTTTTGATGTAAGATTTTACAAATTTCAAGAATGGCAACTTTCATCCGCATTGAACAAAAGCTATCTTAAAATGACATCAAGATTTTTTAATCCCTTATCCAAGCTTCAAATCGATCGAAATTTCATTCACCATTTCATCCAACGTCACTTCTCTAAGCGCGCCCCAAAAAGAGGTATTGATAGACTAGACATCTGCACAGTGGCGCAACATATTATTCGCTGGCTAAATGGCATTGTATAAGCCACACCAAAAATTTATGTCAACATCTTCCGAGAATATCATTTCAAATTCCATCCAAACATGAATTCTCCATTTTTAATTACAAACCCCGTGATTTTTTAGTGATTCACTATCTATTGCCGCGCTTCAACGGCCTGGAATGTAAAACATCAAAACTTAAATTGTGCGTGGAATGCGATTCCCGATTTACGGGATCCAAGAATGCGGGGAATCGTGAAATCAACATTGACCAACGATCTTAAAACTCACTGACCCTCGCCCCCCCTTAGATTAGATAGCAGCTCGATAACAGACGATAAAGATTGCCACTCAAGATGCTACTCATCGCCCCAATATTACAAGTCATACTTTTCTTATCGATCGCATCCTCCTTTGCTGTCTTAAATCCAGTTGGAAGTATCGGGTCCAAAGCGACCGCCCAAGATGGAGCATGCATCAAGCAAGGCGGTAAAGCCCCTCCTATCTCATTCTCTCGCTCCATACTAAAACGAAATAAGGTCTCTGTGCCCAAGCACGCTGTTGCAGAAACTCGGGCCTAGAATGTCAACTAGACGGTTATGGCATCCATTTTTGCGAAAATGAAAATGAAAATGCACCTCCGATTACTAGATCGATATTGGATACTTTCCATGAGATCCTTCGAGCGTTTGGGGATAGGGCTTCGGCGGTTTTGAATACCCTCGCTCATCAGTCTAAACATCAAGAGGTTGGTGAAGGTGTTGGGTTGAAAATGGAGGTTTCTTTGAGACTGGGTGATGAGGTTATCACTGCGAAGGAAACTTGTAGTAAAGCTGGATGTATGTATTGCCCATTCCAGAGTCACACACTTTTATGAAAACTCATTACCGGAAAAATAGCATCTTGCGATTTTCACCAAGGCGAACACTGTTGCTCCTCACTTGTTTGCTACACGTCCCGAAGTTCAAGCATAAGTGAATGCCGTCCACCTTCCGATGTAAAGTCCGAAGACGAAGAAACTCTGGATGTATTGCTGAAACCACATCTGTCACTTGAACAGAACTCGAACTTGAATTCGAATATGGATGAAAGTCTTGAGTCAGAAGAAGAGAAGAAAGAAGAAGCAAACAAGTGGGATTTTCTGGAAGTAATCGAAATGCCGCCTAGACTAGACGATATCAACGAACTACCCAAGTGTAAACCAATGAACAGTAAGTTCTTTCTTCTTACCTATCTCTTGAAATTTTGAAACTAAAAAGAAAACAGTGAAATGCAATCCTATAAGCGGCATCAGAGTTTGCTGTCCAGACTTAGATTGCATACAAGTAGGCCCCGCATATGAAGACTTCGAATGTAGGCAAGCTCTGGGAGATTGGGGCAAAGAGGGAGCTACAATATCTACATACAAGGAGAAAAGTGGCGGTAAATCGCAGTGGTTTCTTGGTGGCTGAAAAGTCAGAAATCTAATATGATTGGGAAGAATTCGAGGGGGAGAAATGGAGAAAGTGAGAAGTCTGACGATGATGAGCTTCTACCTTTCTAGTTTTTCAATGGGATAGTATAGGCGAACAGGTGTAAAGGAACATGGCGGGAAGTAATGAGTAGAATTACGGTAATCTGTGTTAGGGAATTGTGTGGCTTTTTTTGGATTGAAAGGGCAGGAGTTTGGGATGTCGGTAGTTGGTTCCGTTTTTGAAAGAGAATTGAAGATTCATATTCTAAGATGAGAAGGAAGTTGTTTTAATCATTAGTGCTATAATTCAACAGCAAGAAACTCGTTGTTCTATGCGTCTTTATATAAATTGAAGCTGTCTGAAACATCGATTCGAGTGGTCAGTCAAGATTGGATTGAAATATCAACTTTTTCTAGGCCACTGAAGTCAGTTCAATCATTTTAATCGTTCATCATTCATTGGCTTTTATGTTTCATTTTTATTCTACAACAACAAAATTGAATTCTTAAGTATTCATCCGACTAGTACCAAGCATATAATAACTCTTCTGATCCTTCAAAATCATAATTTCTCCATCGTTTCTGCAATCAATTCTGTTCAATAATTAGTGGAATTGACATCTCCCCCAGATTAAAGCACCGTACCAACTCTGCCTCGCGAACTAATCACTCAATAACCACTTCAACGACAACATAACGGCAACCATGTCTACGTCAACAAAGCCACCGGCTGAGGAGATCACATCTCTTCCTTCCCCAAAACCTAAGAAGAAGCCCTTCTCTTCCCCAAACGAAATGGTCACTTTTATCGTTGGCACAGGCGACAAACAAGAGACCTTTCAGATTCACAAGCAAGTTGCATGCGAGCATTCGGATGTCTGGAATCGGGCTTTCAATAGCATGTTTATTGAGGGGCAAACTCAAACTTATCGCATTGAAGACACTGACCCTGAGGTATTTCGATTATTGACACAGTGGGTTTACCGAGATAATTTCGACCTTTTTCATTCAGCAGACTCCTGTCTCAACCGCCTCGACGATCTCAATGTAGTGGTCCAGTGTATGCAAGAAGGTAGTGTCCTGCTGAGGCTTTGGGTTTTGGCCGAAAAGTTTCTTATTCACCGACTTCAGAATTATACTATGCGCGTTCTGTGCAATAAAGCCGTCGTTTGTGAACCATATCTGAATCGATATGATTATAGATATGTCTATAAGAACACGACTGAGGGGAGTGCTCTTCGTCGATTTGTGATTGAGCAGAATTGCTGGGGCATTGCCTATAGCTTGCATGAAGGAGATTTGATTTTTTACTCGGTGGAGTTCTTGAGGGATATTATATTGGCCTTAAAAAGACAATTACCTGAAAATTTTAGGGCAAGGAAGCGTTCTCAGATGATTGGGGACAACTATCTGGTTGGGGAGAATCCAACTACCTGTAAGCAGTTCTCTCTAACTTTTGATATCCTAACTAATTGAACAACAGAATCCTGAATTATATCCGGGATCGACAATTTTGCGAGGAATGGCTGCAAAGGGGTGCCTCTCTGGTCGATTAACTAGACTCGGACGATGAATTATCAGCATCGTGCTCCGTGAAGGGTGCACACAGATTCCTCCGAAGCGGGAAATTGTTGAAGGATATATTCGGCTATGAGTTCGTTGTGCACACAGGTTCACATAGACTGATATGCGATGTTATTGGAGGTGGGAGGAAAGATAATAGGTATTCTATTCCTCGCTCATTGCGGCAACATGTATGTATGCCTGTTGGTCCAATAAAGTAACACCAAGCTAAGAATATATTCTTCCGACAATACTCTGCTGTTTTCATGTAAATTTGACCTGTTTTGCTAAGGTTTTCGATGCTTCGGTAAATCATACATGACGAAGACTGTGATGATACTTCCTTATTTTCAGATAGTGTAACCGTAACAGCCCTCGAGGTGTCTTCGGAACGCATCAAATTGGGATTCAATCGTGATCAGGAGTCAAATGGTGTATGCAACCACTCGAGATACAGGCTTTACCCAAGATCTTAGCTGAAATGGCAACAAGTTCAGATACGCCTTCCTCCATTCTCACAATGTTAGCACATATGCTCACCGGAATTCCCAAACTTCACACACTTTAGCATCCTGACTTCGGAATGTGAATAATACCACATCGATTCTTCGGAGCAATCTATAACGCGCATCTTGGGATGGAAAGGGCCTGTTTCTCGTTCTCGATAGACTCTAGCAAATACTGAAGGGCTTAGTACTGGACGGAAGAGAATATTATATGGTCAGAATGAGGATGTAGGTATACATCATTTTTAAAAGCTAGACAGCATGCGATTATTACATGTACAAATCCATAGGATGTAGAGAATTCATTTTGGTCAAGAAAAGAAAAGGGAGGGGATAAATAGGAGTTTTGATTCGCTTTAAACTTCTAGGTAATATATAATACAGGTAACTCTGCACAGCCTTACTACCCATCACTTAAGATGCAATAACTGCTCAAGCAATCAAGTCCCCAATTCTAACCCAACATAATTCTCAACGCCCATTTTCACTCAAAAACACGCATCTGCCCAGGCGTTTCTCAACCTGAGTAACGGACCCCCCAGCTAAGATAAAACAAGCATTAATCCTAGCCTACATACTTCTTCCTCATTTTTTAGTTTACGTTTTTAGTACTCTTAGATTCTTCGCTCTTCAATCTTGAAACTGCATTCTTTTTATTCCAAAAAGCGCCATGCAAAAGAACAACAAGTAATACCAAGATATATACCAACTTCCCAGAGCGAAGCGATGTTCTCTGTGTACATAGATAAATAGGTAAGCATACACAAATAACACAACATCACATGTCCCCGCTCCCCCAAACATTCCAGCCCGAACTCACTTGTTTCTATCAAACAGTTCATATCACCAGCTCACAAAGCTTCTCCTCGAAACAAATAAAAAAAATCATAAGTCGATTCAGTTTCTGTTGAGTTCAGCCCCTCTCTCCCCTCCCCCTCCCCCTTTTTGATCTCCTCTATTTTCTACTCTAGCCGAATGCACATGTTGCTGACCCATCAAGCTACTTACAAGAAAGAAAAGTTGATTTGATCACTTCCATGATGAATGAAGAAATCGTATGTATACCAGAACAGAAATAGCTAAGATGTATTCTGGCCTGTGACTTATCAAATCCATCGAGGAGGTACCTAGCCCCGTTCTTCTACATCATGGGGTATATTCTTCCAACTACATAAAGCGCCAAATTGATTCCTCTACGCCTGATCTCATGTCTGTATCCATTTTCCCAAGGTAAATATAAACCCCGAAACACCGCGCTTAAGCAAAATACCCTTCTCGTACCTTTCCTCCATTCGCCTTTCTCCGTCAAACCCCGATCAAATATACATCTTAAAACATTAACCCCGCAGCTCCTACAGCCACAACTCCCATCAAAACACCCCATCTCAATTCTCCTTCTCTCCCCCTCCACCCCGCCACACTACCTCCCGCAATACTACTCCCCGCACTCGTAACTCCACTCTCCACTGTATCACTCGCTTCCCCTTTAACCTGCTCTTTCACATTGTCTCTAAAAAACTCCTCTTTATCCCCCTTCCCCCCATTCACAACATTCCCCGCGGGCCAGTACTCACACACTACATACCATCCCGGAGTATCATTTTCTCCTGCACAATTGGTGCGCGCGCAACCGACAGATGTGGTGTTTGACCAGACTAATTGTGTAAAGTGACCTGTATCTTCGCTAAAACCTGGAGAGGAGTACGAATATTTGAGGCGTTCGAGACCCCAGGCGTCGACGGAGGAGGTCGCATTGGGATAGCCAGCTGCTAGATTTTCGCCTGTCGCTCGGCCCTGGTGATGGGTATTAGTTATTTGTTATCACTTTGGAGGCTTGCATTTGTGAAGTGCCCAACTTGTGAAAGGGGACGGGAGACAGAAAAAAAGGACTCGACGTACAGAATGTTCAAAGACGCAACCTTTGGACCAATCCTCCGCAATCTTTGCACTGGTATCATTCCACTCCAAGTTACTAACATTTTGTTCCCCCCGATAGAAGTTATGCGCCGCGATCATGTCGGATTGGAATTGAGAATCGGAGGTATATGATGTAGAAGTTGGTTGAGAAGCTGCCGATTCTGTGACCGTCGTAACAGTTGTGGTCTTCGCGGTTGCCAGAGGTATCAGGAGAAGAAGATTTATGGGTATGCGGATCAGCATTGTGAGATGGTTTTGTAATGGGCTTGTAAAAATGATTTTATGTAAATCAGAGTATGTAAACAAACTAACGTTGCGGTGATAGCAAAAAGTATACCGTCGCAGCAGAATATAAAAATATAGATAGCAAATGCCCTCGCGTCATAAACAAGAAAAGTCGTGAGATGAAAGTGAGATGAAGTCTGTGGTCACCGACATCATATAAATCTCATCCCAAGTCCTATAAGTCCTCGCATATATACTCTTACTTTTGATTGGGACCCAATGTTCATCAGTTCTACAACTCCGAACTTGGAAAGTATAAACCAAGGACAAACAAAGTAGCAAATGACCAGCATTGCCTCACCGGTGTACAAAGAAAAGATCCGGAGAACCCTTGGCCACACATTCATCTTTTTACTTTGATTCCCGACTCAATTAACCTTGCAAGCAACCTCCACTCAATAAAGAAGCCCCCATCTCACATCGTTTCGTTATATTAATCATGTTGTGCTGGTGCCAAATGAATGGATGATTTTCATTCATTTACTTGTTTCTTGATTTCGTGTCTCGCGAAGCATGGTTGGTCGTGAAGAGGCGTAATAATAAGAAAGATCCAGACCGAATGACTAAGCGAGAAAACGGGCGCTTGGGGGGGGGGGGTGCTATGACGTAATAACGCTGTTCCATCAATTGCACGAAATCTGGGGAGAAGTCTTAATTCCTAAGGGTCCGCACTTTAAATTCTATTGAAGGATACCTAGTAGATAGTACAATTTGTTGATGCCCAGCCACTCAACGCCGCTATCATTCTTTTTAGACTATTTCAATTGAAAATCTCTTCAACACCTAAGGCAATTCATTCACATTTCCATTCAAACCATTGGTATCATTTGCCTCTGTCGTGAAGTCCTTAACATCCAATTTTTCGACAATTTTATTCCAGCCAAATGTATCCTTGAGCTTTCCTGCTTGAATTCCCTTAAGGGTGGTGAGAAGCTTCTCGCAGATAGCACCGGGTTCTTCGGATGATGAAGGGATATATTCTGTAGTTTTGTTATCGGAGTAACGGGTTATGGAGCGAATTGGGACGAGAGCAGCGGCAGTTCCGGCGGCCATTACTTCGGTGAAAGTGGGGAGTTCTTCGTATTTGATCTAGGAAAGATGTGGATTAGAATAGGTTGAACGCAAAATGGAGTTAACAAAATGGATGGTACATGGAAAATGCGCAAAAAACACAGGTGAGGATTGACTAACCGAGCGAACCTCAGTCTTCCATCCAAGACTCTTTCCAATTTCCAAAATACTATCAGATGTTACACTAGCAATAACATTCTTACTATCTGGTACCACCAATGTAATGGAATCTCCCTCCTTCTTCGCGCCAATGAATCCACTTGTAGAAAATTCGTCGATTTCGCTGCGCGTTTGACTATCCAAATGCAATGTTATACCATATCCCTCGTTTCTGGCTTTATCGCTCCATCTCAACACTGGCGCGTAGTTTCCTCCCACTTTTGCGCTCCCGGTTCCATGTGGTGCAGAACGATCGAATTCCTCGAGAATCAAGCATTTAACTGGGTGTACACCATGGTAGACGCCTACTGGGAGGACATAGACACAGAAAGTATATTCCTCTGGGGACTCAAACCCAACTGAGCACTGGAACCAAAGATCAAAGGTCGGATATACATAGCAGCGCCTGTTTCATGAGGTGGTACATATTCTGCATTTAAAGAGACAGCAGCATGTACACAGTCCATGAAGACATTCTCAGGAACAGGAGGAATGGAGATAAATTCTGCAGAGTGGGCTAGACGAGCGGCATTTTTGGTAGGACGGAAAATGGTAATGGAGGAGTCTCCGGGAGTGCGGAAAGCTTTCATGCCTTCGTATGCTTGTTGGCCATAATTGAGAGCGGGGGACATGCCATGAAGACGGAGGTAGGGATCGGTAATGAATTTTGGAGGGGTCCATTGACCGGTTTTAACTGAGTAGTGGGATTCGATGTGACCGTTAACTGAAGGAGGAGTTAGCTTTCTGTGGACGAGACTTTCGACAGCAGTCAATTGAGTAATAATAGGAAGGCTAGGACAGAGAAATTGACATTACCTTCACGGAATTTGAAGCCAATATCACTCCAGTCGATTGTGCTAACAGGGGGTGGGGGGAAAGCCATGTTGATTTGCAAAAAAAGATCTGATGAGAATTGCTTTGAAAGTCAAGATATTCAGAAATTTGGAAGTAGCACAGCAAGTATTTAAGATCGTGAAGGATTCAAGATTGTTAATAAGTCTTTCAATGTTTCCACGGAGATGTAGTAAATACAACACAGTCAGCTAGCTCAAAAAATATTTCATGTTTCCGAGCTCGGAGAACGCGGGGCACAAATGACGGAAGGGAGGAATGATGCTCCGAAATGTACCTGAATAAATGGGGGTGGAGAAAAGGAAATGTTACAGCTTTGTAGCCAATTAGGATACGATATGGAATGAATATGAAACAATCAAATAGAACGAATAAGAGTCTTGGAATTAATTTATTCGAGGGACGGTGATGGCTGAAATGGGAATTTATCACGCTACATATGTACCTAAGTAGGTAGGTAGTTGGGATGAATTTATCGAATGTTCGGAATTAGTTTCTTTCTCGCTCGTTTTCTCAAACTAACATTAACATTCATTCCTCTGAATTAATGCTTCCCTTTTTCCTTTGTTGCTGACATCTCAAACGCTACGGAGTATTCATCGAAACATTCGGAGCCGAGTTCAATTCAAGAAGTTGGTCCTTATTCTGTTCCGTTAGCCAACCATATCACAATCATCAATACAAATAATAAATTCCTTTTCGGTCACAATACAGCATGGCTCGAAAGCCGCACTTTACTCTTGCGGGAATAGCTGTAGCGGCTTTTCTATGCATATTCTTTGTACTCACATTTCGCAATCAAAATCATGGAACGAGAGCTGTAGATTATGGCACAGAGAGCGATTATAACGCTGAATTCCCTCTGGATAAAACTCCAATTCTCGTCGATGACAATCTTCTTCATGGAGCAGCCACTGCCCCTAAGCTGGAAAATGCTACTTTGAAGTATGTCACCCATCTGCAAAATGCGGTTGGAATGATGTTATCTTTGTACTTATTAACATTCTCACCCTTTAGAGCGGAACTCGGCCACGCAGCCTGGAAAGTTCTACACACGATGATGGCCAAATTCCCCGATAAGCCTACAGAAGAAGACAGCTCGGCTTTAAAATCCTACATCCATTTATTTGCGCGCCTCTATCCATGTGGCGACTGTGCGCGACATTTCCAAGGGCTATTGAAGAAATATCCACCTCAAGTAGCAACGAGGAGTACGGCAGCGGCGTGGGCATGTCATGTCCACAACGAAGTTAACAAGCGTTTGAAGAAGGAGATATTCGATTGTAGTAAGATTGGAGACTTCTATGACTGTGGATGTGCCGAGGATGGTGAGCCGGGGAAAGCTGGCGAGGCAAAGACACAGGTCAAGAAGGGGGAGGGAGAGGGTTTCACGCCATTAGAGTTGGATAAGGAAGGGTAGGTTTTCCTTTGAGCTTAAGCATCTTCTTGAGAGGATGATGTGATGCTAATACGATGGGTGTAGTTTGACTCGGGGAGGTTAAAGCATTTGGAGTTGAGCATTAGTCCAGGAAAGGAACTTCTCGTCTGGCACAAAGCAAGTTTACCTGATTCTAATTCGCAAGAACAAGAAAGAGCTTGCCTCAGGTTTCTCACAACGACGGGGATACAAGGCCATGTACGATCAGGAATCGAGGTCAGGAATTTATCGAAAGAGGGCGTTGATTAGATTTTGGAGTATTGGGGGCATTGTTAACTGGATTGGAATAGGCAGGGATGTTTCAATATGTTACGTCCGGTATCCATTTGTGTAAATTGTAAATAGCATTTATTAGTTCGTAAATATTTATTTCTTGAACTCGAAACTTTCACTGCTAGGTATGTATATAAGAAGACTAAGTACACGCTAGCTCCCATCTTAAAAGGCCTAAGAAACCTCACCGGGAGGCCTAAGAAACGGGAATAACCGCCCAAGCTCAAATCATTATCGCCACGTGATCTACCTCACCTTCGCGCTTGCTTGCCTTGCCTCGCGTCTAAGGTCTGCCTGTTTGAGAGCTTCAAATCGGTAGCTCATCTTCCACCCCAACGAACATAACGATTAACGATTCGCCTTTGTTTTTTCTACATATTCCAAATTTAAGAAGACCAATATTAAAACTTTCAAGATGGAGTTTGGAAACACAGGAATGTTGAATGAAGGTATTTGGGTATCCAGCTCAGCTACCAGTGAAGTTAAAGCTAACGAGAGCTTCTTGAAGATGGTATTCATGTGGATATGGATCGCTTGAAGAAGGGAGAAGTCAAGTAAGATACCTAGGTAGCCTGGCCCTACATTTTGAGCTTTACTGATTAATATGCTAGCTTAGGAACCTCTATGTAAGAAGCCTAGAGACCACGATAACAATAATGTTCGATTCGAGATCAGCGTTGACATTGATTTCAGTATGGCCATAAACTTTAAGGATGGTGTCATTTTGGGTCAGTTCTTTTAGATCACAATCTGCGGGGTACAAGAGTTACTGATGGGTGTATTGGACAGGTGCGGACAGTAGAACAACAACCGGGTCATATATCGCAAACCGAGTTACAGACAAGCTCACCCAAGTACATGATACAATTTGGTGTTGTCGATCAGGTTCTGCGGCTGACACTCAAGCTGTTGCGGATATTGTTCATTATCAGTTGGGAATGTATGGAGTTTTGAATGGCAAAACACCAACCACACAAACGGCCGCCGCCATGTTCCAGGAACTTTGCTACGACAACAAGGATCAATTGAGGTATGAATGATGTTCAACTCCGCGAGTTTCTTGTTCTAATTCGAATTTAGTGCTGGTTTGATTATTGCTGGTTGGGATGAGCGACACGGAGGTCAAGTCTACTCAATACCATTAGGAGGATCGTTACACAAGCAATCTTATGCTATTGGAGGTTCCGGCTCAACATACATCTACGGATACTGTGACGCAAACTGGAAGGAAGGTATGGAAGAGGCTGATGCTGTTGACTTTGTTAAGGGCGCATTGCAGGAGGCTATCAAATGGGATGGGAGTTCCGGAGGTGTCATTAGAATGGTGGTTTTGACGGCTAAGGGAGCAAACAGGCATCTATACTTGCCAGACACGAATTATACCGTCCGTCATCAATAGATGATGAATCAATGTACGAATAGAACCCGACCATAATACCATGGAGTTTACGCAATGGATTAATTTGCAAGGTTTCATAACGGTCAATCCAGGGAAATTTGCATTTTGATTGAAGCGGTGAGATTAAGAATAGGAAGATTCTTAAGTGTGGCTTTCATTCCGAATTTTAATCGTATCACATTTCTTGTAGGAATATGATTTGATACCTTTCAGTGTTACAACATGTGTGATTGTTATAGGCGACGGGGCAATTTTAAATGAAGACGATGCGATGGGATCTTCTTTATGCTTCTAATGATATGAAATTAAGGGTATCTCGGAGTGTTGAGTTGTGGATGGATGTACCTGTGGTTACTCTTGGTATGAATTTGAAGGGAGTACAAGCGTCAACTCCAACAACTCCTTTTAGATTTCAAGTGCGATACCGGTCTAGAATCATAATACAGAGGAGACATGTAGGTACATATCTACAGATGTACCCAAGTACTCATGAGATGGGATTTATCGATTCGTTTGAATGATTAGAAATTTGAAGGCGAAAAGGAATTGGGGTTGATGGACGGTAATACGATAGAGTCTATCTGATAGTGGTAGACTACCATTGAAGAACGTGTCAAGTAGAGTATGTAGGTATGAACTCTTCCTCGGGTCTGGGAAATATTGATTGAAGCTGTAAATTTATACATGGAATTTGAATGGAATTTGATATGATAGATCTACTAGGTATCGGTATTTGGTCGATTACGGAGATCTATTTACATTGTAGTTCTATCTGCTTTTGTCTTTTCTCTTAGTGGCTCATTACTTTCTATGGTTAACTACTACCTCCCTAGATAGATTGCTGGATAAAGGAGCTGACTGGTACTTGGATGATAATTATAGTGTAGATGGACATGGACACTAGATGGCTGGTACGTAGGATTGATTCATTTGGACTATGAACTTGTGCCTAGGTGATTGTATCATCTCTCATCTCTCATTCATCATTCATCATTCGTCATTCCTTTCTCTTCCGTTTCCCAGATGTATCCATCTACTACCTACGTACCTATGTATTTATTAGGGCCCTATATAAATCCACTACATAACTCAACACTCTGTCGTATTTCCTGTCTCTGTCCTCTCTTCTTTTTCCATCTACTTCGATTGATCGATCGTTTTGATTAAATGATTTATTACCTCAGGCAAGACTCTCCTTCGTAAATTCAGGGTTCTCATTGATCTCCAACTTTTCGTCATAGGTAGAGTATTACTAGGTACCTTTACTGCAGTTGGCCAGTGTTCGGCCAGTGGTAGTGAATCGATTGTACCACACCCAGCGCCCTCTCCACATCTTCTCTCAACCCGACAGCCCAGCCGCCCCAGTCAGTACATAGTACATAGCTACAAACCCAGTATCTACCCAGTCAGTACTCATCAATCAACCACCTTCTCCGTACAAATCTCTTTTCCATAATTCACGTCCCTCCATAATAATTATAATAATAATAAAAATCCCCCATCAACTTATCGACTGATTTGCTACCTATTCTCTCTCCTTCTCTCCCTCTCTCTACCTACACTTGTCACTCTACTCAACCTCTCTTAATACAACAATTCAAATATCAATATTTTTCATTCTCGTTGGAGAAAATCATCCTCTTCTCTCCATTAATCGTTGAATTGTTTTGATAAGGAATGCTGCAGGTGAGTCTTTTTTAATCCTCTTTATATCTGTGCCAATATGGTGCATGCCCATCAAGTCATCAATCAGTGCCCAGTGTGTGCGTGTGTGTGTCTGTTTGTTTTGTTATATTGGAATCTCTTGTTACCCCCACGAAAGATTGATAAAATGGCCATAAAATGGCGCGTCGTTTGTCAACCCTTGAGTTTGTGATCGCAATCTCACAATTCATAAACAATCTTCGAGAAATGGAAGTTTGCATCAGAGTATAGTCGGCAGATGTTCAAAGAGTCAGGAAGGATTGTTTTGATGTTGGCTTGTTCATTTACCTTTTTATCCGGTACCTACTAGGTAGTTAAAAGACCGATCGATAGGCAAAGTACCTTCACGATAAGACTTTCTGAACCTTCTGGCCATCCTAGCCACCTACATCAACAGCAAGGACCCAGTTGGCGCTCACGTCTTTTGAAAGAAGATACTCCTATCATTATTCCATTCTCTCTCGTCTTCACATTGTTCCAGCCATCGCAGATTTGGGAGAGAACAAAATAGCTAATCGCAACGAGTGATCAGGTTTTCACGACCGTCACATTCACTTGATATGGCTGCGGTGATTGATTTTGTGTCAGATTCATCACGCTTCCACCCCCATACAATGATACCCGCTGCAGGGCATCATGGTTCTTCAGAGGATTCACCATATCGACAACCTTCCCGGTCGAGAGTCGAGCCTCCACCAAGTCCGAACCCCCACCCCACATCAGTAGATGATGGTACCCCTCCTCCAAGCGCAGATATACAAGCCAAATATGATGACTCTCATGATGTAGACCACCGCACAAGAGTTAAACCCGAGCCTCATATCAAGTCCGAACCTATCTCTCCTCCTTCGAGTTCCAGTCCAAATTCAAATTCACACACGCAACAACAATTTCAAAGTCAACAAAATTTCCCTCCATCTTCGGCGCCTCATGCACGAGCCGAGCATTCGCATACCTTGAGCACCGATTCTCCTTTAAGGCCTCGAATGGCATCTGGGACATCTGAGCGGACAATCCCAAGATCAGCAAAGTCTCTTGATGATGTACAGAATTATGGTGGTAACACGATCAAAGTTAGAGATTTGGCACATATCGAAAGTTTCGCCAGCCCAGAATTCCTTTCATCTAGAGGCCAAATCGGAGACTCACGCACAGCAGATGAGCCTGGATTAAAATACGAGATCAGCGGTATGCCCATTACAGATATTATTGAAATGGTAGCCGGGCTTTTGACCAAAATCACCACCACAAACGATCGTCAACATGAAACTCTACAAAGATCCATTCCATCTGCTGAAAATACAGCCAATCTTACTGGACTATCTTCGAGCGTTCTCGCATTTCACGGAAAGAATGTGCCTAGCATTACCATTTTGAGTTATCTAACTAGAATACACAAATACTGCCCAACAACATACGAGGTGTTCTTGAGTTTGTTAGTCTACTTTGATAGAATGACGGAGAGAGTTAATGCGGAACCCATAAATGCCATGCGACAGGAAGCCATGGATCTAGATGGTTCTCGACCTTCGTCTACTTATTCTGCAGAGGGTTCTGATTTGGCGGATACCCCACCAGGAGCTAGAAGCGTTCCTGAGCTCAAATCCGAGTTTGAAAATGCTCAATACTCTCACTCACAAGATCCTGAACCTGGTTTGGCTCAGTTCCCCCTCTCCCACTTCTTTGTAGTTGACAGTTTTAACATTCATCGTTTGGTTATTGCTGGTGTCACTTGTGCCAGCAAATTCTTCTCCGATGTTTTTTACACAAATTCTAGATACGCCAAGGTGAATCTTATCATCAAATACTTCTTTCCTCGTGCTAACGTCTGTCTAGGTTGGTGGATTGCCGTTGAATGAATTGAACCATTTGGAGCTTCAATTTTTATTATTAAACGACTTCCGATTATCTGTTCCCGTTGAAGTATTAGAGGCTTATGGCACAATGCTTGTGGATTTTTATGCTCGAGAGATTGTTGATCAAAAACGAGCAAGTGGTATGACAGATATGGCATATAAACAAGAAACAGCATCTTGAGATGTCAACGGTACTCACGTTTTCGAATGTAAGAAAACCACGAAATATTTCTTCTTCCTATGTCAATGATTGTCTGTGGGTACAACAGATGTTGGTTATGTTAAGACAAATGGATGATAACGGCGCTCAATAATGATGACGATGATGATCTTTCAGCGAGATAGACTTTCTTCCACTTTTGTATGCGGGGTCAACGGCTTCTCTCCTTTCTATACCTCGTATTTGAGATGAATTTGGATTTGGAGCAATCGATCATAAAAGATACCCTTCTTCTTTCACACTCTCTTAATATCACTTCGCAAAGACTATAAGATCTTAAGTTGGTTCTATCAAGTAGCAAATGCTTTCTTTTTTTGATAGCCTGATTTTTTTGCTGGTGCGGTCAGTGTCTAGGATGACATGGGATGATGTTAGATTTCACATGTTCCTTTCTTTCCCATTAAGGAGGACTTCATTATGGACGGAGAGACACAAAGATGCAGCAGATATATGGTTGAGTAGTATTATATCGATGCACTCTTTTGAGAGATGGAGAACGATGATGAGAAAAACAGAGCTGATTTGGATTGGAGTTGATTAACTATCAAGTGTAGCTTTGGTTGCTGGAAGACGGGTGGATGGATCTCAAGATTTGATGGAATGGGACAGCAGAGAAGAACAGGGCAGAGCAGAAGCTGTGATATGAGTTATGACGATTACACATGTTGGAGATGGGTGGATGAATGAGGATATGAAATTTGGGGAATATGAAATTATAGATGCAAGGAAGGATGGATGGATGGATGGCGTTGGTGGAGTAATTGGTTGGCGATTAGCACTTATTTGTGTGCGTGTGTGTGTCTCTTTCTTATACGATTTTATTAGGTAGCTTTTTCTTTTCTGTTTTCTCTTTTTTTTTTCTTTTCTCCATCTTTCTTTAGGTGTGTAGGGTGAGGGGAATGTAGTTTGAAGAGCGAGGTGAGGTGATGCGATGTGTTGTGATGTGGTGAGAATTGAATGGACTGATTAATTTGGATTGTCTTAAATTGCATTGAATTGAATGTGTTTGTGATGCATAGTGCGTAGTGTGTGTGTGTGTGTGTGTGTGTGTGTATGTGTATATGAATTGTGTATGATACCTATGTTTATGGTTCATGTTCTTATTTTATTAATATCAATATCGAATCAATCAACATATCTCGGCAAAAATACATGGGATGGGTGGGCATTTGCTTGATATTGGGATTTATTGCACGAGTAGATTAGAGGAGATTTTTGAGGAGAATAGGGAAGATGGGGAAGGGAGGAAGAGAGGAGAGGAGAGGAGGGAAATGGAATATATACTTACTTACTTGCTATTTATATGTATATGGCCCTGAGAAACAAACGAGGTGTCCATGGCTAGCGGTGTAAACAAGGTGTGAGGTGAATGAATTATGTGAATCAAGTGAAATTTTTTTAATTTTTTTTTAATTTTACATGAAAAAGAGAAGGTGTGTATATATATATATATATATATATATTAGAGGATAAATAAATAACACGCAACGTATTGATACCGTCCCTGACACAAGGTATGGGCCGCAATCCCTCAGAACTGGTGTATCTACGTTTGTTTGGCATTCGCATGGTGGGTGTTCGCATGGTATTCGCATGGTATATCTAGAAACCTCGAATCTTGAATTTTGAATTTTGGATCTTGGATCTTGGATCATGGATCTCAATCCCAAGTCCTCAACTAACTCGATAACCCAACCAACCAACCAACCTTCACCCAAAGGATAATAATAATAATAATATGGAAGAAAAAGAAAAAGAAAATAAATAAATAAGTCAGTGATACGCAAATCGGTTCGGTGGATCGATAAATCTGTAGCCTCGACTGCTTTTGATCATGGTGAGCGAGATGATGTCGGCGTTGTGCCAGTCTGTTGTGGGGGGGTTGGTTAGTTTGGATTTGGATTTTGAATTTTGGATTTTAGAGGGGAGGGGGAGGGGGAGGGTAAAAGAATGGTGAGGGTAAAAGAATGATGAGGAGGAAAGTGAGGGAGAGGAAGAGAAAAAAAAAGGGGGGGGGGGCGGGGAGGTAAATACGTAAACCCCCTTTCCACTCCAATACGCAAGAAATCAAAACAAAGCAAAAGAACCAATAAAAACAAACTTACAATCCCCCGTCAACCCATGCAAAAACTCTCCATGCGAAATAACCAAAATCTCCACATCCCTGCCGGACCCCCTCTCCCTCTCCGCCTCCAACCCCTCCCTCCCCACCTCCCACAACCTCTTCAACACCCGCTGACTCCTCTCCCTCTGCTCCCTACTCCTCCTCCACCTCCCCCCGATATACCCACCATCCCTCTCCCCATTCCTCTCCCACCCCTCCTTCACCCTCGAAAAATCGACCGCAATCCCCACACCCTCATGTTTCCTCTTCAGCTCCGCAATCGACGACCCCGTACAATTCGGCACGGAGCCGTATTCGCGCAGCTCCGGATCGACGGTGATGGGGATTGTGGTGCGGGGAGAGAGGGAGAGGAGCGCAGTTTGCAGGGTGCGGCGGAGCGGGGAACAGAGGATGTGCCGGGGGTTGAGATGGGAAAATTGCGTGCGGAGCGTCAGACATTGGGATTTGCCGCGGGGGTCAGGAGGGGATCGGTGAGGTTTCCGACGCCTGCGGTGCCCAGGTTGTTGTAGCCCTGAGGGGTGGGTGGTTAGGAGAGGATGTTTAGGGAATGTTGGGTTGGGAGGGGGAGGGACACGTACTTCGGCGTGACGAACAAAATGTATGATTATTCTTCTAGGACGAGATTTCGGTTTCGGTTTCGGTTTTGGTTTCGATTTGGGTTTAGGGGGAGGGGGAGCCACTTTCTTCGGTGCCGGTTTATGTTTCGATTTAACATTCTCCCGTTGAGTTGATGGGGGAGGAGATGATTTGCGCGACCAGAAACCCATGGTTTGTTTACCTTGACTTCTTGCTTTTGCTTGAAAGAAAGTTGGGAGCTGAGAGATGAAATCGAAAATCGAGACCCGAGAATCGAGGCGATGAAGTTCTAACGTACAACTCCCGAATCCCGTATACGCGTGTACGGGTCGGGGAAGAAGCTAGAGCTAGAACCAGAGTCTTGAGCTTTAGTTTATAGTATGCTTAAATCTATATATACAACCAAAGGAGATATAACACAAGATATCTCCACACGAAGAGGAACAAGAACCCATGAAGTCATCCCGAAAGCAAAACCCACACATAGCGAAAGGCGATACTACTAGGTACTCAGTGGCGAGTGGTGGCTAGCTAGGTATTACCAACGAGATACATTTCTGCCCAACGAGCTAGCCACTTATTTACCGGACTGGGAGGTTTGCGTATATTGTAATGTATCAGGTGATAATTCATCATGGGTTAAGGATGCGATGACTATTTCTTTTGTGATTATGGATCCACGCGAAGAAAAGAGTATTTGCTTCTCTAGGACTTTTGGAAGGAAGGATTAGGAGAGCGGGGGTGAAGTGGCCACGGAGGCGTGATGAATGGGTCTAGAGATAGGTCGGAGATAAAATTGACCAGGAAAGAAACCCCATTTTCTACTTGATCGATTGTTGATGTGAGAATTTCATGTAAATCACACTTCTTCTCCGTACGATGAGGTATATTTCAGATAATTGAATAAAGGTGATTCAGATACTGTGACGAGAACCATCACCTGAACAGTTAACAGCCCCTCCCATCTTCACGCGAGGATTCGACCCGAAAGTTCCCACCGCTTCTCACCGGGCACCAATCGCTAGGTCTTGAAAACGGCCATTCGACTCACTGTAGAGGCAATGATCGTTAAAAGTATCAGCCAGATGCGGAGAACCTTCAAGCTATTCAGCTCTTTCTCCAGGGGATATACGAATCAACCACGAGTATGTAGATCCCCACCGCCGCCGCCATTATCGTTTGAATCCCATGGAAATTCAGTTCCAGGATGAATGACTGACTGCAATGATGGCAAATGAAATTCTGAATGGATGGTGACTTGATAATTGGTCACCACAAAATTACAAAGCGGGAGAAAAGTCAGGGGGGTGGAGTACAAAGAGGCGTTACCCCGTAAGTTACTACACTGTGACTTTGTTCCATTTCTTAGATGTATTTTGGCGGCTGCTATTTCTAGAAGGTTTTTTTTTGAAAAAGAGCTCCCTTTCTCGAATGAGATTGTGAGAACTATGTAACCAATAATATGATATAGCGGAATTCTGTTGCATGTCTTAAAACCAAGGAGATTCATTCCACCACTGTCGACTAGAGACGAGGAGCTAATTGAAAGTGTAAATTGCCTTCCATACGACAACCAATAGAAAAACATTGGAAGGTATTGTTGCAAATCCGAAAAATGGGAAAGTTTGTCTATCACTGTATACTGGAGCTCAATGGTAGGGAGGTATGGTAACCATTAACTCTTCTCAACCACACAGAACTTTCCAGCGTCAGACTGACTTGTCTGTAACGGATCACGTAATGCTATCTAATGAAAGCAGCAGAGTAGAAAATATACCACCTTTGTACGCTCGTTACTGTGACGGAAAATTGTAATCATGAAGCTATATCTAATTTGAAGCAGGTAACGCAGATAACTCAGCTAAGCCAAAAAATGGCACAATTCAAAGTATTCATCAAACTCAATTGTCAAATACTCAGCGAAACTCAGATCAAGGGCGTAAAATGCATCATTAGAGTATCATATGCTGTAATCAAGCTCATAACCTTTTGAGCCATGTAAAATGTAAAGGCAGGTGTTGATACAGAGGGGTTCTCACACATACTTCTTCGGCTATTCCTCCATCTTATCTCCTTCAGCTGCCGTCTCAGCCGGTTTCTCTTCTTCCTCATCATCATCACCCTCCAAAGCCTTCTTCGCTAATTTCTCTGCTTCCTCGAGGATATCCTTAGGTACTTCCTCGTGTCTTCCCTTTGTTGGCCCATCAAGGTTGCTAATCCAAGTCATCTCAAGCTCAAATTCCTTATCCTTATTGTCATCATGCGCAACATAGATAATTCGTGCAGCCTCCTTAACACCATCTAATAAACTCAAATTGCCAGCTGCAAGATCCAACTTCTCCAATTCGGCCTTTGCGACTTGACGTCCTTTACCGGTAGCAGCTCCGTAGTAACCCCAGTATAATCCACTTGGTTCAATCATGTAAAGACCTGGTCCACCGTATTTCTTGCCCTCAACCTTTCCTCCCGAACCAATGATTGGTCCACTTCCTACCTGTCCATCAACTGGTAATTCTTGTTCGGAATCATAACCTGCGACGATTGCAGTTATACCGAATGGTCGTACGGATGAATAGAGAGTATATGCTTGAAGATATCCACCCATTCGACTAGCCAAATCTGCGGTTGTAATTGGAGTTTTGTAAACGTTACGCCAGCTTGCAGCTTCATCGCGGGCACGGGAAACGAAATGTCTACCATCTGGTACTAATCCTGAAGATACCTATAAAAGGATCATTAGCCATTTTATCACTTCAAAATGACCATCCAAGTATCAAGATTGTACATACAGCACCCATATGTCTATCGATTGTCGCAATACGTTTGTTGGCTCCAGCCTTCAGGAGCTTGCTGGTAATGACTTTCTCAACTGCAAGCACAACACCATCTTTACATTTGATTCCAACAGAAGTTCCACCATTTTCAACTGCCTTTACTGCATATTCGACTTGAAAGTTTCGTCCATCAGGGGAAAAGACGGAATTCGAAAGATCATAACCTGTACCTATCGAAGTCTAATGTAAGGCAGGAAGTTAGCTTAAGAAGCTCATTTATTTGATCCAAACTGCCAATTTGGATAGATTGAAGCTTACCATGATTTCAAGATTTTAATGGAAGATATTCGAGAGCTTTAAAGACCAATAATTGGGATGGGGTGGTGAGATTTGGGAGAGATTTATTAATGAAGCTCTCTAGATTCTGTATATTTGGAGCTCCAGGCCACCACGAAACGCGTTTAGGTTGGAGGGCGGCTCTTAGCGTCATCTTTGAAATTCAAGCCTTAATGGTAAGGTGCTCACATATCTACCAGATTGGATGCGAATCACATGATGATAAGAACATCGATCGGAAGAATGATCGGATAAGGTCAACTGGTGGGCGATAAAGAGAGTTCAAAAGAAGTCAAAGGGTCATGAACCCCTGACAGAAAGTGATACTCAATAGGTGATAGACAATACCCAATGACAATAATGACATGGGGGGGCTTTGAGGGAGAGAGGGTCACGGGAAAAGAGAAGAGAAGAGAAGAGAAATCTCATGCGGGCACATGGCAGGTCACTCATTCATCATCTTTTTGGCCTTCAAACTGCCATGCTTCTATTTCACATCCATACTACGACCGTCTTATACCTGCGTGTGATGAAAGGAAAAGTATAGAGATTTCTCAAAGTTTATACGAATAATAGGTATCTAGATCTGGTGACGCTCCGCTGGGCCACTGCCGTGGGGGCTTTTTCGCTTCGCTCCAGTTCCTCTGCATACGGATGGATGTTTCTTACTACCTGGTCAGTAGGTACTTGATGAAATAGGAAGTGTTCATCAGATAATTGAATGAATATAAATATTTGAATCAGAAGATGTAGATTGGAAAACCTAGAGCGTAGCGAAGAAGCCTCCACGGCAGTGGCCCAGCGGAGCGTCTAAAGGGAGACATAGGAGACATAGGAGACACAGGAGACACAGGAGACAATCTTCCCCTAGATCAAATACCCAGGTGTAAGTACCCTTCATACATTCCCAGTATCCATCTAATTTATTGGCACCTAATGATCTACAAACAGTTGTTCATCTCTCTCTTTATGTGCTCTTTACGTGCACACTGCATGGGAAAGCATGGAGATCTGAAATGAAAGAAAATCCTTATCCAGTCGAGCCCGCAAATTGAACCACGGTGATACTCGTGTCATGGAACAATTGGCAGATAAAGCAATTAACAGTGTGACGCTAACAGCCCAATATGTTTCGGAAATAGAAAATTCACGACCTTTGATACTTTTAATAGGATTTTATGGTTTTATTATCATCTTCCATGACTTAACAAAGAGGGGTTAACCATTCACATATCTACCCAGCACGTGCTTATCTTTCTCTGATACGATAGTACGGAGCACGTTGATGAGGGGGAATATCAATCCATATCCATATCCATATCCATATCCATATCTCGGTCTATATCTATATATCCATCTTCCTTCCCTCAACTCCTTCCTTCCATTCTTCCTCCAACGTGCTATAAGCTCCCATAAACCTTTCAATCTACAACATTATATTGCCTTCCTGTCAAATATTTGGGAAAGAATTGCAATCACATACGAGATTATAAGACACTTGAAACATTCAGATTCATCCCAACTTCCGTGGCTTATTGGGTACCGCTACTTTACTGAACCATTCCAAATAAGCTCATTTATCATTTATCATTCATTAATTACCATTACCAAAACGTCACCCATCGTTCTTCCCTTCCCTTCCCTACCCGCCATCACCGCCACCACTTCTATTCAATCAATCTCAGGACTCCCTTCCCTTAATTTCTCTCAAGAGTAATTCTATTCTCCCCTTTACTTCAGTACATACATAGCATAGTCAATAATAACAAGCAAAATCATTTTGCATTTGTCCACAAAGTCTGCTGCTCCATTCTCTTGCATACATACCTGCATGTTCCTCTGACTTTTAGCCTTTACTACAAATCAGATCACCATCCGATTCGAACATTCTGCTTTCTCAGAAGCATCCCGCAACGGTCAAATTCGTTTGCAAGATTTGACTTGCAGATTAACAAATCGTTTACAACATCAGGTATGCTATTCCTTTTTCTGCCTTTTCTCCTCCAAATAACTCAACTAACACATCTGCCATAGTATCGAATAACTACTTGCACACATATACGTCATGGCTACACAAGAAGAGCTCGCGATGCTTTTCGCTCGTAACCTTTCCCTCCACAACCCTCCTCCCGCTGCCCCCGTAGAAGAGCCAAAGGAAGTTGAACCAACATACACATACTCAATTTCTCAACACTATACCCATTCCGCACATGTTGCTAAGCAAGCATCCAGACCTGCTTCCGAACCACCTCAAACAGATCAACTTACAGTAGATATTATACTTGCCAGACATGGTGTCGATTCTTCTTCTTTATACCCTACCCAAATCGAACTTTTCAAAACTGCAGATGCTACTCAGCAGATGCGATTGATTGAGTTATGGAGAATCTGCCCACCATACAACGGAGGGCATGCGTTGGCACAAGACCTGTGGACTGGTCCTTCTACTAGCCTTGAGCAGGAAGAGTCCATGGCCAAGCTGAGATACGAACGTCAAATGATGGAAGAAAGAATGTCTCGAACCCAAGATTCAAGTATGGATGATGATACTATGAGTGATGGTAGTAGCCATGCTCCATTGACACCAATCCAAGGTGGAGATGCCCGTTGGAATCATGTTGAGCATGTTGAACCTTACATGGCGTCTGGCTATGAACTTTTAGCTGCACGAGAATATGAACAATCGACTGGTCGTTCAAAGGATGTTTACTCGCACTTTGGATCGGCAGTTGGTGGACCTCAATACAAACAGTCTACAGACCCAGTCTATAACAATGTCGAAGCCGTTCATGGATACCCAAATGTTGAAGCGATGGAGAACCAGTGAGTATCCCCTTTATCTCAGATTAATGTGTTGGCACCTTGATCTTTCCTCTCTCCCCTTTTTCTTTAACCCCACCTCAAACGATCCCCACTCCGAGTACAACCCCACCTTTCCAAATTCTTGCCCACCTTTGAGTAGCTTTTCTGCACACGTGGTTTTCACTAACTCGATCATTGCAGGTATGGAGCATTTCAGAATTATCAGTTTGGTGGATACACAAATGGAGGCGAAGACGAGGAGATGTTGTAAATAAGAATACGTTTTACTCTAGGTAGCTATAGTTAGCACTTCTGTAGAGATGATCATATCAGGCATGGAATATGGGGAAAGTTATTATTGTTCGGCGAGACATTACATGGATTTTGTTTTTGTTTTAGGAGGAGTATCTGGAGGGTTATTAGGACATTCATGCATGGAGTATATCTGCATTTGCATTCTTCTACAAATTGTGTTTTTTGAAGGCTAGTGGTTGGTCAAGGACGATGATATCTTTGTCTTTCATGTATTTCTTCTTCTCTTGATTTATTGTTCTCTTTGTGTAAGGTACGTACCTTCTGATCGACCTACCCCTCCACTCCCCACCCTTTCCCCTGCCCCCCTCTACCACCTACAACACTCAGCATTCCATACCTTTTTTACTCCAGTTTTACATGCCATTCTCAACTTCAAATCACATCAATATCAACGGCATTCGCTACTCAAGGTACGCATCAATACCCATCTCTTCACCTTCCCCGCCCCACCCCCTTTTGACTAAAATACCTCTTACTACTCACATGAAAGCTTCCCCCTCCTGGACTGGCAACTACACCATCAAACATATTGGATCTGGACCTGGACCTGGATTTTCGTTTGTTTTAATCATGCCCACAACCTTTTCCCGTGGTATAGATATATATTGAACGTATATATGAAATGGAATATAAAATTATTTTATAAAATTTGATTCTTTTGGTGTGAGTGAGGGTGATGTGTGTGATGTGATTTTAATGTTATCAATGAAATGCTCTTCTCTGCTCTATTTATTGTCTGCTTCCTTCTTCCTTCAGTCCGAATGTAAGGTAATTCAAGAGATATTGTTTGTCTTCTTGATTGATTCACAACGTCACGCAATATATCCTCTCCTCCTGTAAACTTCTCCTCCTCCTCCTCCTCCTCCTCCTCCTCCTCCTCCTCCTTCTCCTTCTCCTTTACCTTGGGTATTACAATCAATGCTTATATGATAATTCATCTCTCTTAACATTCTAATCCTCCCATCTTTCCATCTTCGAGCCTTCAAATCTTCTAGCCTTCTAGCCTTCTCATATCTCATGTCTCAACACACAATACTTGCTTACTCACCCAATCGCCATCCACCACACCACCACACCATCACACCTCAATCTACTTCATCATTTCTTTCCATCTCTTCTCAAACATCCTAAACGAGGGAGCAGAAGATCCAAAGAAAGGTAGAGTACAAGTTCATTGTATTTAGGATATCTAAACTCAAAGGCTAAAGACGAGAAGACCATTTTAAATATGCGCCACCATATCACATTACATCATATCATATGATGAATCTGTGTGTACGTATGTATGTATGTTTATCTTAATTTCCGCGTACTTTCTCACAACATGTATGTATGTGCTTAATTCTATTCCTCCAATCCAATCCAAGAAGAAAGAAATGAATTGAATTGAAAACTTCGGAGAAAGGGAAAAGAAGATAGAGAAAGAGAAAGAAAAAGGGAAAAGAACGCCCTCGCTATGCCGCCATATCAGAACCATTCATAAAATCATCTATATCATCGTCTCAGTGTATTGTTCCCGATAATTATCCCATGTCAATCATTTCTTCTCGTAAAGAAACGCAACCCATCAATAAAAACATTCTAAGATAATTGAGCTAGCTTTTGTAAAGCTGTCAAGACACCTATTGAAACGTTAGCAATCGATCAATCACACAATTGTGATGAGTAGAGACGTACCAGTAACACCTTGGGTAAGTGTATACCCAGCTTCAGTATTTCTACTACCCAAACTAACAGTCGTAACATTATCAACCTTCTTAGCTCTACCCAAATCATTGGCCCATCTGAAAATAACCTCGTCATCCCTGCCATCACCTATTACTAGTAAGAAGTCGACAGGAGAAGTATGTTCAGCATTTGGTGACATGTCTTTTGCAAGGCCTTCGAATATCTTCATGGCAGCTGTACCCTTTGACCAGTCAATTGGTTCTACTGCAACAGCTCCTATAATAGACGTTAATAGGTTTTTCGTAATGTAAAAAGCTAGGAATACGTACCCTCGAGAGGGAGAGCTCTAACTCTTTGCTCAACACATGCATCATTAATGTGGCTTGCACAATCACCTGCTTGTCGAGTTGCCGTTTCAAAGTCTTCAGCATTCTTGTAATGGAAGATCAAACTACAGTGTCTCGTCTCAATCCAAGATCCTGGGGTTCGCTCAGTATAATAAGCCATGATACCTTCAACTGAATCTTTCCAGGCGCGCATTTTTTCGGGGTCGGCCATCTCGGTCCATTCCGAAGTTCCAAATTGTTTAAGGAAACATCCATTTTCAGCAATGAGACCAAGACGTGGAACTCGTTTGAATAAACGGTCAAGCTCCTCTGGTTGTCTGCTAGACATTACATAGACTGTATTTCTTTCGTCTTGTAGAATATCATTAAGAGTATCAATTGTGCGCTATGCACTGTTAGCATTTACCCGAGATCGAGGATTTTGAAAATCACTTACTTGCGGGCTTGTTAAAATGATACTGCTCGGTGAGCCCCATGATGCCAAAGTTCCTTCATAATCAATAATAAAGAGCCTACGCTCCGATTTCTGATACTTTTGGCCAAGTATATTGATCGAGAGACGAGGAACAGATGTGGTCTCCCTTTTATGCTGCTCGTCATAGACCTTGTCGAGGCGATGAAGGAATTCGTTGAACCAATGTTCTCCCGTGTGGTGCATGACAGCTGCATGAAGTTTCGTGAATCGTTCTTCTTTCTCTTCATCCTCCATTTCAAGAGCTTGTTTGATTGCATCGGCGCATTGGCGATAATCCCAAGGATTAACCGACAGTTCATTACCACCAAAGATAGAGGAACTACCAGTAAATTCACTAAGGATAAGGGATCCATGCTTGTTGTGACCTTCAAACTTGCCATCTTGACAAAACAAATACTCATGACATGTTAAATTCATTCCTTCACGCTGACTTGCGATCATCAAGGCATCGGCGACTGTGAGTAAAGCTAGATATTGTGGATAGATGATGTCTTGCTTCAGGTAAACGACTGGTTGATAAGCGAGATTTGCCCATGAAGAGTTGATTCTCGTAACAATATCTGAGACAGTCGCATCGAGTTCGGCATTCTCTGTGGTAGAGGTTGCTACTTGAATGAGAACAACTTTGTCTCGCCATTCAGGGTATTTATTCAGGAATAGCTCATAAGCCTGTAGGAAGAAAAGAGTTAGTAGTTATTCATAAGGACTTCATTAGAAAATTGCACCATCAAGTATTTTCAGAAGTATTTAATAAAGTAGATAGAAAACTCACCAAAAGCTTAGGTCGTACACCTCGTACATGATCCAACTTGTCTCGTGCAACAATAAGTTTCTTACCACGGTATCTCTCTTGCATAGTGTTCAACCAATGGGTAGCTTTAGGGTCCAGGCGGTTCATATCCAGAGCAACGGGATCAATTCCAATTGCGAGATTAATAACATCGATAAATCGATCCTCAAGTTGAATACCATCATTTGTGGCTTCAACCATCAAGATACGACTGCAGGTTTGCAAGAAATGGCGGGCATACTCTTGAATTTGGAATCCAATAAGATTTGCTCCTAACATACCCTCAAGTAATTCCTTGCGAACGGCCAAGCATCGGAATACTTCTGAAGATGGAAATGCAACGTGAAGGAAGAACCCAATCTTAGCATCTGGAAGCTTTTTACGGATCATTGAAGGTACCAGTAGAAGATGGTAATCATGAATCCAGATAACATCACCTCTCTTCCATGACTTGACGATCTTGTCTGCGAAGGCTTGATTCACTTTGACATAGTAAACCCAAGAGTGATCCTCGTAAGCCTTGCTTTTGGGATTATCGGGAATCTGGTAGTGGAAGACGGGCCACAAAATCTGCTTGCAATAGTGCGTGTAGTGACCATCGAAATCGCTATCTTTGCAAAAAACTGTCAAAGAATCATACTCTGTAGCCATACGATCGTCAATGTCCTGCTTTTGTTGACGTTCGAGAGCATCCGTTGGCATTCCTAGTGTACCGACCCAAATCTTATCCTCAAGGTTTCCACTTCTAACTGCAGCTTGCACAGCATTTCTCAAACCCCCATTACCTTGCTCCGCTGGCTCAACTTCCCATTCGGCATTTGCGAAAACTCTATCATGACTGTCACTTCTTTTGTATTGTGGTTGACGAACTCCAGCGCTTCCAAGAAGCTCTGCCTTCTCCTTCATTTTATTATGTTTGAGAATATCTGCGGGAGGAGGAGAACTGGCTCGGGAGCGTGGTTGGTTGAACATCTTTCCTGCACCCCATGCTGGTGAATGGGGATCGCTGGGCGCGATTATAGAATGTTGGTTCTCTTGTATGGGGAGGGAGGCTTTTAGGTTCAATGGGTCGGTTTGAGCGAAGAATTGTTCATGATCAACATCGTGTATCGGTGTTGCTGGGGGTGTAATATCTCTTTGATGGCCAAAAAGACTCGGTTTGCCAGTATCGATTCTGGTAGTGGTTCTTCTAGCAGCACCTGGACGTCCAGAGCGGGAAGCGTCTAGTTTGGAATCTGGGTGAAGTTTGGATCTGGTAGGGGGACGAGAACTATTGGAAGGAAGTTTGAAGTTAATTGTGTTTGGGAGAAAACTATATTGGAAATTATCATGTCAGTTTTTGGCATTACAAAAAGCTAGTAGATGAAATCGCAACCAGATGGATGTCTACAATCTTTGTCACTTCCAAACCCGAAGCCTGCTAAATTAAATAGCATAACTTGCGGATTTCTGAAGGCATATATTGTAGTACAAAGTAGTGTTGGGTTTCAACTGTGATGGTCGAAAGAGACAATAGAAATATGTCTAGCACCGAAATAATTTTGGGAGGGAAACACGTACAGGGAGACCACAAAGACGGTCATGATGAAATTTTTGGAGAGATCCTCAAGAACGAAGAAGGAGAATGGAATTCGACGTAATTTGTTTTGTAAATTGGTAATCGCGCAATCATGAGCTTCGTGGTTGTACGCTGGGTTGTGTTGTGTAGCTTTGTAGCTTAACAAGATCTTTCTTTATTTGAGGAGAGCAAGTTCGAAGGAGGGGCAGTA